GGGATTGATTGGGTGGCTTCCCGCATTTCTCAAGCGAGGCTGGTTACAAGGTTCTTCAAGCGCCATGGACATGCGAGAGAGGTTCTTGAGGCGCACTCGACGAAGACTCTTCTGCTACCGGCGGAGACGCGTTTCGGCACGAACGTCATCATGATGGAGAGGCTGGTGGCACTGCGGGCCGCGTTGACAGATGTTGTGGCCGACGATCGCTCGCGCGAGACTATTTGGTCGACCAGCAAGATCCGCAAGGATGCAGCGGAGGTCACTGCATGTATCGGCTCCCCTCCATGGTGGGAGGATTTGAGAGCTCTGTGCAAGATGGTAGAGCCCATCATGGGCATGCTGAAGTTGGTGGACAACGACACACGCCAGATCAGCAAGATTCTGCGACGTTACGAGGAAATGATTGCATCTTGTTTATCCGCATGTCGTGACATTGATCGGGAGCAGCTGGACGCTATTGTGGAGGTGTTCCACAGGCGGCGCACCATGTTCAAGACCCCCGCCCACACGGCAACCATGCTGCTAGATCCAGAGTTCCGGGACGTGACGCTTTGTGACAATGTGGAGGTGCAGCAGGCCTTGGTCGAGGCCCTTGTCCAGTTCAACTACCCGAAGGATTCACCGCAGCACCGGGAGGTCCAACGAGCGGTCGCCAAGCTCCACACGAGGGAGCCCCCTTTCGATGAGCTCACCATGTGGCGAGCTGTGGATATCTTTGATCACCCTGCCAGTTTTTGGTCCTCAAAGAAGGCGAAGTTCCCTCACACGGCCGTGTTTGCAGGCAGGATCCTTCGTATATGGGCGGCCGCGTCACCGTGCGAGAGAGCGTGGTCTCGTTGGAGCTTCATTCATTCGAAGTCTCGCAACAGGTTGGAGGTTCCCCGGGCCGAGAAGCTTGTACGGTGCCACTGGAACCTCGGGCTACTCGATCGACCTTCGTTCTGCGACGATGGTGTTGGAGAGAGGCCCGACGTCTTCGGGAAATGGGTGCATTATTGGCAGGCCATGGAGGACGAGGCAGCCGTGGACCAGCAGCTCATCAGAGGCACCGGTGTTCTGGCGCAGGTGACCGAGGAGGAGTTGAGCCTCGCCAGAGAGAGGATGCGCGCCATTTCCTGCATGGGAGCCGAGCGTCGGGTGGCAGAGTCGGACAGGAGGCGACGCAGGGCTGGTGGTCGGGGACGTGGCGGCCGTGGACGAGCAGGTGTCGGAGGACGTACACGTGGCGATGCGGGTTC